AGATTTGTAACCTGATTGGCACTCGTCATTTAGAAAGAAAGGCAAACTTTCCAACCTTGTCTTTTAAAATCGAAAGGAATCGAAGTTCTGATTCTTCCCAACATGTGCATCCTTTTGCATTTTGAACGTTTTAAAAAACAACTATGATACGGTGTCTTGTCCTCCTACCAGTTTACTTGGTTTCCAAGACTCCGATTCTTTTTTAGAAATACAATCAAGAGACAATAGTCATGTGAGGCCATCTCAGAAACCCCTCCAACTTCGGTCTTATTCCTTTTTTAGTCACTAGAGGGTAGAAGAACGTCACTTCTGGCCACCGAAGGGAGCCCAGCTCTTGCTCTCCCACATTAAGAGTTTCTGTAGCCATCCAAAGCAGTAAAGTTTCCCAGCATGCTTTGGTGAAGCCTGACAAAGCAGTATTTCCTCCTTTATTGATTCTGCTGCTGCACTAAAACACTGGTACTGTACATCAATAACCATCTTTAGTTAGGGAGCTCTGGCCTGTGGAAGAGCGCTGGCAGTTTGTGGAAGAACATAAAGGCTAGAAAGAAAAATTGTGAGCTTGGGGAATATTGTAGTCTGGGGAGGACAGGAGAGGTTATGGAAGAATAGCCAAAGGAATCGAGAGGGAGAGAAAAAATGTTGACGGCCTGGATAAAGATATTGAAACTATGAAAGGAACAGAGGATCCCAGAGAGCAGTATTTATACCTATATTGCAGAGTATGTCTTCCCACTGAGCTGCTGTCTTCTTTTTTCCCTGTCATGGTACTTCCTAGAATTTTGATTTCAGTGCTGGGCTCAGAGACTTAATAAATGCCCAAACCTTATCTCTATGTTTAATAAAACCTTAGATGAATAGAGCTCATGGAAAGCTGTTTATGATCTTATGTGAGAGATGCAGTTTATAGATCAGTGAACCATTTCACTTGTTAGGTTCCTTGGTACTCTTCATTTGGCTTGTGAACATGAGTCACGTAGAAAATTCTATAGATGCTGTGATGAACCCTCTATAAAAGTTGTTAAAATACCCTGATCAACTATCTGGAGATCCTTAAACTATAAGCTTTTTTAATAAGATTTTCATATTATGTTTAAAAATTAGGTAGCAGGAGTTTGGCATAAAGAAGATTATTACTTAGCTATGAGTATCTAAAATTTTACTAGTCTTAAGTACTGTGTTACCTGTCAAATGCCATTGGCTTTTTCACCTCAATCATATTCTCATAATAACTTCATTTAGGTAATTGCTTCTTAAACCCATAAATTTCTAATTTTGCATCATCCGAAGAGCTCAGAATAGCAATCTTTTTTGACTCTCTTCACAACTGTTTTCTTACTGCACTGACCTTGATTTTAATATAGTAAATATATAAAGATTGCCTTCAAATATGGGTTTAGGTTTTATCCGAAAGGCTTTGTTACCTTTATGATAAGCATTTCAAAATGAGAACTGAGAATTTGATTTAACAGGGCCTGAATCAGTTAATTATTGGGTTGTCGGAAAAATCATGATATATTTTTTCTGTTTTTCGTTGCAAAAATGCGTCATGACTTTTCCGACAATCCAATAGTTCTTTTTGGTTATTGACTGTGTATGTGTACCTAATCTTTGCTGTGAATAGATATGTTTCCAGCCATTACTTTTCTCTTTTGAATGTATGTAACAGTGCTAGAGATAGAAAATGAACAGTTCCTTTTTTTACATCAAATAGTCTAAAGGAAAAAAATGCAATGATACATGGAATTGATGAATCACTGATTGTATTCAGAAGTCTACACGCGCGTGCTCACACACACACACACACACACACACACACACACACACCTGCTATAATCTGAGTCTGTGTAAGTGCTATGGCCGAGCACATACCCCTTTAGTTATGGACACCATTTACTTTAGATTAATTTGCACTTAGATAAGTCTATATATTCTTACATAGTCCCTCTTTGGATCCACCGTTTTTTGCAATTATATGTCAGTTATCCGAGGTAAAGAGACATGACCTATCTAAGGTAAGAGAGATATCCTATGTTAGTGTAACAGTTTTTTTTCTGCATGAAATTAGTTGACTCGTGGTGCCGATATTTTGCCTGTTCGGCTCTATCTCCTTTTATTTCTCTTTCTCTCTGTTATTGCAGAGGCTGATCTCTGCAGGGTACATTTTTCAAGGTGCCCCTGTCAGCTGGCCTGCAGCTGGCTTTATACAATGAGAGGAACTGTCAGGATACCAGGGGGACTGGAGAGGGAAGTAGCTGGGCGTGTCTCCCCTTTCCCTGTTTCACGTGGTGTCTCAGACACGGGCTGCATTTTGCATCTTCCATAAGCCAGTCTGCTGTGGTCTCGGCTTCTGCCAGGTGACCCTGACACTGGTGTGTAGTCTTTCTGTCTCTGTAGCCCAGAGGTCATCAAACTTGAGCTCGAGGGACAAATCCAGCCCTATGTCTGTTTTTGCAAATAAAGTTTTATTAGAACACAGCTCACTCATTTGTGTATACATTGTTTTCGGCTGACAGTAGTTGGGACAGAGACCCAATGGCCTGCGAGCCTAAATGCTTACCACCTGACCTTTACAGAAAAAGTCTGCCCCCCGCTCCCCACTGTCCCCATCCCAGCCTAAGAGTATTAGACACATCCTCCTGTTGTTTACCTTACATTATCTCCATAGTCTGTGTTTGCTTTCTCAGCAATTCCATCACCTTTGACAATGGCTTTCTGCCTTATGTACCCTCTGTTTTCAATACCTGTAACAGTTTTCTCTTCCTGTTGGATTCCAATATACAATGAAGGGGCTAAGCCCTTGTCTTTTGTGTGTGTGTGTGTGTGGAGGGCAGGTGGTTAGGGAAGGACACTTTTTAGGTGTGCTTACTTAGTGAGAATCATGAATTACATGCTGAGGGGTCCCCATGAATTTAGGTCATTCCCTACCTGCCTTCTGTCTCCCTTTCCCCTTTCTCCTTTATCCCTTTTGCTCTGTCTGTCCCTCTGTTTCTATCCCTGATGTTTAAGATGTGGGACAGGCAGGCAGCCTCTCAGAAAGGCGGGATTGGTAGAAATGCTGTGCTTATTAGGATGGCCTTGAGCGCTGAGAACTGTCCTATTGCATGGACCAGCATATTTTCTCTGCCGGTTTTGCCACTTTGGCTTTTTTAAAGCCTAGTGACCTCAGATTCGTCACACAGTAGACTCCTGGGACAGGGTACTGGTTGGGCCGTGTGGCTATTTTGTAGCGCGTGCTCTCTTGCCATGAGGTGACGTGGCACCTCTTGTCAGTTCTGACCCCTCCGATTCCTCCCGTTTCTGGAAAGGGATTCTGTGGGTTAGCTGCCTGGCCACGTGAGAGAAACCTGGGAAGTCTCAGCAGATTATTGGGTGCTTTTGCCCTTGACTCAGTCATAGAGAGGTTGACTATGTCAGTGTTGCTTCTGAACACTTGGTGAAGACTGGTTCACTTCAGACCTCGTTGCAGGTTTAAGAACTTGACAGACAACGTGTTTAGAGGCATTGTTGTTTTGCTCAGGACTTGGACGCCAGGGGCTGGCAAAGCGTGGTTTTAACATATTTAGCTTCCGGCAGGGATCTTGCCACAAAGCTAGTTTAATGTAGGGGAGCTTAAATGGAAAGAGAACAGTCAAAGGACTTGGAGGGAATGCCCTCTATCCCTGCTCCTCTTTCTCTAATCGAACGCACGTCCCTTATTTGTTGGCAGGCGCAGGGAGCGGTACGAGCAAGAGCCTTTTTCAAGTGGCCTGTTGGAGGAGCTGGAGGGAGGGTACTGTGTCTGGAACACTTTCCCAACTAATAGAGGGCTATGCATTCGTTTTGTTCTTTTCTCATTTACACAGATTCTTAACTCAAATGCCCACCCATAATAACGCCTTTTATTTTTTAAAATTTCTTGGTTAAACTCAAAGGACTGAGGAAGAATTGCCTACCCAAAACAGCCATGTATGCCTCTATGTCTATATTTCTATATACCTATCTATCTCTATCGACCT